TGAATTTAAGCCACCGGGTCCAGGACTTGAACCACAGTCGACTACATGGGAGTTCAGCGACATGGCCATTACACTAACTGCTGGTCCTGCAATCAGAGGTTTTCATAGCAGCCAGCAAAAATCAAGAAAAGTCCTTATCCCATTAGTCAAGGTGTGAGTTCCAAGTCTCTCTCTCTATCCTTTTGTTTATCATCTGATGATCTCTCTCTCCCTAGAACTTTAGAGTAGACCTCTGGATTGTCTCATCTCCCCTGCCCCCAACTCTATTCCCAGGGATGGAAATTTTGGAGAATAAAGTCCCAAAAGAGGCAATGATTTGGCTTTTCCTGGGGTTTGCCAATAATAGCATGACAAAGAATATTGCATTTATTCTCAGTGATCTACATCTACGAAATGGCCTTAGTATTGGGAAGACAAGAACTTAGGTTGATCTGTACACCATAGAAAGCAAAACAGTTCAGATCACATACAATCTTGGGTTCTTGGAAAGTGGGAATTGGAGTCATAAATGATGCATTTGAGTGTTCTAATTTGTTTTGATCTGAAAGCACAATATATAGTTTAAATATTCCAAATACCTTGGCTCCAACTATAGTTATATTTCAGAAAGCTGTCATGTACTTTTCTGGATTTGAGACTAGTTTGGCTATGTAAGGACTAGCTGAGACCCTTCAGGTGGGACAGAAAAAAGTTTGGCATTTTGGCAGATGAAAGCAGAACCCTGGTGGGCAATACATTTGCTGGATAGCATCAAGAGAGAGTCTATCTGAAGTGGGGTTTTTTTTTTGTTTTTGTTTGTTTGTTTGTTTGTTTTTATCAGTGAAAGTTGACTATGTAATATCAATTTCTCGAAACCTGTTGATATTTTATTTCTTTTTTTAAATTTTTTTATTTATTCATTCATTTACTTTAATTTGACTGGAGAGAGAGACACAGAGCAAGAGAGGGAAGGTGAGAAAGCAAGCCACCAGGTCCAGGACTTGAACCGTAGTCAACCATGTGGGAGTGTCCAGCGCCTTAACCACCACGTCACCTGCTGGTCCCCAATATTTTCTTTCCAACTTAATGGGATCAATTTTTGTAATTCTTTCACATTCAAAACTATGGTATTATCTGATTTGGTGATCCACTATCTTACATTTAGCTACTAAATCAAGTTTGTTAACTATGTTTTTCTGACTTTCTCTATCCTAGATGTATAATTGTTTATTTTTTTCTGTAACAAATGTGTCAAAATTTTCCACCATGATAGTAATTTGTCAATTTCTCCTGATCTAAGTTTTTGATTTATATATTTTTTACCCAGGTCATTGACAGTTTATAATTTTACCACTAGATTGGTAAGAAAAACATTCAGTTGCAGTTGGTTCAAGAGGAAAGGACTTGGAAACAATTCTTAGATGCAATTTTTTGAGGAATTAAAAGGGAAGCAGAGAAATGGGGCAATAGCTAGAGAGAAATAGGGTCAGGGGAAAAGGGCTATAGAAGACAAAAGCAGTCTTGAAAAGTACTTGAGAGGGGCTGGCAAGTGGCATGGTGGTTAAAGGCGCTGGACTCCCACATGGCCGACCACGGTTCAAGTCTCGGACCTGGTGGCTTGCTTTCTCACTTCCTCTCTCTCTCTCTCCCTCTCTCTCTCTCTGATCAAACTGGGAAATAATAATGATAATGATAATAAATAAAAAAAGTTAATTAAAATAATTATTTTTTAAAAAGTACATGAGAAATGTATACTATGGAGAAGAAAAACTATGCATGAATTTCAAAAAAGTTTGCACCAAAATAAATCCATACTTTAATTCCATTTTTCCATGAACTTTATGATTTCCCTTCATATTACAGAATATTCATTCATATGCTGTTAATTCGGTACAGGATAAAAAAATGTCCTCATATATAAGAAAGGGAATAAGATCAGAGTATAAGAGGAGAGTTTTCTCACCTAGAAATTGTGGCTATTCATTCATAATGGAAAGTAGAACTTACAGCCAATGCAGAGAGGTGAGCAGATATGCTTGTGAGAGGAAACAGAAGTTCTTTATTCTCAGTAGAAACCAAAGTCATAAACAGATACCAGTGACATGGGAGTTGTTAGAGGTCTGAAGAGAGAAGCTATGAAGTAAGACGATTAGGAAAATGAACAGTAAGAAAATGTAGAAAGATAGGTTGCATGATGGTCCCACTTGAACTTAGTGGTCATAAACTTTTAAAAGTATGATCAACCATCAGGGCTATGTGTTTTTTTCAGGCCTTCAGGCAGTAAGTATGGAGTCAGATTCAACCAAGTTTGCTGTTTTATCAGAAGAATAAAAATAAGTGAGAGAGAGGCAAGACTTAATGGTATATGCAAAAGAATGATCATATGAATGATCATATGCCTTTTACTTGCATGTGGAAAAAGTGAGAACATAGAAGTGGTTTAGTATTGGGAAGACAAGAACTTAGGTTGATTTGTGCATTATAGAAAGCAAAACAGTTCAGATGACATACAATCTTGGGTTCCTGGAAAGTGGGAATTGGAGTAATAAATGATGCATTTGATTTCTTGCTTTCTCTGTCTCTCCCCGTCTCTCTAGTGAGCACGTATGCCCTATAACAAAAAACCTCTCTAAAAAAATAAGAGAAATATGTATTTGTTGTATACTACTAATTTATAACTTGTTACAGCAGCAACTGGGAACTAATACACCAAGGAAATGGACGAATATAAAATAGAAGTCCAGGCAACAGCTCTTTCATCTCCAAAATAAGCTGAAGAAAAGGAATTGGGGAGAGCCCAATGGGCAGCACTGTATTACTTAGTGAGAAATTGAAGCAATGGGAATGCTGGCTGAGAGGAATGTTGGTGCCACCTCTAGAAGGCATAAGCAATTGCTGTAAAACGCTCTTAGAAGCAAACTGCAGGCCCATATATGTGTTATTTTTGTTTATAAAGTTTATTTGTATAGGGCCAGCCAAGTGGCTGTTGGTTAAGGCTGCTGGATCCGATATAGCCAACTATGTGCTGCTGGAGACTCCACAGCTTGAAAAACATACCACACTTGTGTGCCTGCCCCAAATCCCAAGAGGAGTATGCAAGAGAAGGAATGGTGGTGGGTGTCTCCCTCCCACCCCACCAGTGATTTCTTTCTCTCTCTCTCTCTCTCTCTCACGTGTAAGTGCCAAATAGAAAAACTAAAAGTAAAGACAAAATTATGGACGGTATTTACATCCTTTACTCACAGTATTTATGTTTTTACTTGCCAGTGAGTGCCTATGCTTGCCAGAGCAGGAGGGTGGGGGCCACCACACCACACTACACCTAATCCCTTTGTGGTAGGCAGTTAGTCATGAGTGGGCAGCCCTAAGAGAAAGGCAAGAGGACATTTTAGTCAACGTCCTAATTTCCACTAGGGCGATAAACTAATTAGGCAGTCTAATTAAAACAACCTGACTCACATTAGGCATGCACAATTAAGTAATCAAATTCTTCATTCTTTACCTGTGCAGTAGAATTTGCCTGGATTCTAATTCAAATGAAGGACATAAGTAGTGTAACAGACTGTGGAAGGCTGCATATTAGATTTTGCACATGAACAAATATTCCTCCACTTTATACCCAGCCCTAACATGGCTGTCTGCTTCTGTATTCCTGCTTGCTCTTCCCATGAGAAAATAGCTAGTGCTAAAACCACATCCCGGATGAAATCCTGAACCTGCTACTGTCTTTGCTAACTAGCCCGAAAGCCCTTTGTTTAGCAATGTAACTGGTTGCATGGAAACCCCACTCCCCTCAGAAATAATTAACTTGCTTGACTCAGCTTCTGTAACTGCTTTCGCATAGGAATCCTGCACACCTGGCAACCGACCCGTATAAGAGGCTACCCCAAACTTTGACTGGCGCTGCAGTTCTGACTCTCAGCACCAGAGCCTCAGGCCCTAGTCGCTGGCCAGCTAATAAAGACTCCCTTTAAACTTAATCTGGCTTTGGTGGTCATTCATTCAGTAGCACTCTACAAGACCTCCCACCAATGAATATTCATGACCACTAGTAATAAAAGTAAAGGTAACCAGTACCAAGCTCGGTTGCCATCTGGAAATCTGCCCGCCCAAGAGTCTTTTGGGTGTACTTTCCTTTCTTTCCTATTAAATCTTCTTTTCTACCTACTTAATTTGTGATTGCAGTTTCATTTTGTGCCTAGCGACATCTCTAATTTTAGTGATCTGGAACCAAAGAACCAAGGACTTCACAACGCTTCTAGACACTGACCCATTCCTTAACACGTTCTCTTTCATTTCTCCATCCTGTCAGGATTTGGGGCACTGTGGAGCCAGGAGCAGCCATGTGGGATCCCGCTCCTTTAACCACTACGCTACTGAGCTGGCCCGCCCACAGATTTTCAACACTGTACTAAAAAAAAATTAAATAAAGTTCTTATATGTTTGTTTAAAATACACACACACACACACAAAGTTAAAAACACCAGAAAGAAGACACCAAAGAATTCTTTCATAACCTGAATAAACCAAACGGAGACTCCTCAAGGCCAAAGCCTGGTTGAGCAGCGCGCCCGGAAGCCCCGGGACCGACGCCGGAAGTGGGCGTGGCCGCCCGCGGCCTGCTGGGACTTGTAGTTCGAGGCCGTGGGCGACGCGAGTCAGTATCCCTAACCGGCGTTTCCAGGTACGGGATTCCACGTGGGAGGTGAGGCCGACTGGCTCTCCGCGCAGCTGGCAGAGGCCACCGGCGTCAGGCTGTGCGGGTGTGGCGGGGCAGGTGCTGGGCGGGCGTCCGAGGGAGGACGCGAGACCCGCGGAGGCGCCGCCCGGGCCGCACGTGTGCGGCGCTGCATCTCCGAGCTGTTACACCCCTCTGCCGGGGCCACGATCACACCGAAAGCGGCCCTACCGCTGAGCGAGATCCGGCTGCGAGCCCCCTCCCCTGTCCGGCGAGCCTGGCCGGGCCGGCCTGGCTGCGTTATAGTTGCCGCACCGGCCTTTTTCCTTAGTGACCTGGCCGTGTTCGAGGAGGTTCTTGGTTGGTAGGAGACCGAGAGGGGTCCTGTGACATCATTGCCCTTGCTGAAATGAGGCCGTAGCTGATCCCCTGCATCCCAGAAGCGACCCAGGTCCTCCGACATTGAGAGCGCGAAGGTGCCTTGGCCACCGAAATCCATCCCGAGAGGCACACTTAGAACTCGAGAGCGCCTGTGAAAAGTTCCCCGAAATCGAAATCGGGGAGTCTGAGGAAATGGGCCCGACTTAGAGTTGCTGGGGCCTGAGGACCTGTAGGAGAGGTGAGGGAGTGCGGCGTGGGGGGTGCGAGAGGAGGGGTTGGCTGTCCGGCTGCGGCTGGAACCCAGTAACTTTTTCCCACAGTCTTGCAGGACTGGCTAGTCTGCATTCTGCAAGGTGGGCTTGACTTTCTTGGCTCTTTCTCCTTTGCTAACTCAGCCTTTCCAGGAATCTGCTTTCCCAGAAGGAGGAAAAAACAAGTTCCAGGTGAGTTAGGGTTTCTTTTCTTCTAAAATGCCATCTGTTTGAAAATAGAACTTTTCATTCTTGAGACAAAGGTAGAACATCGGCATCAATTTGATGCCTTTCTGGTGTCTCTGCACCGAGGGTTGCTCTTCTCTTTCTATCTGTCTTCAGTGTGTGATATACAGTATTTTATAAATAGAAATATTAGAACAAATGGCGTCTTAGAAATATTAGAACAAATGGCGTCGCCAGGCCCTGTACGGCTGTCTGCTCACTTTAAATTCCTCATTTTTACTGTACCTACCTGTCTCTATGACTTTGGTCCTCCCTTCAGAGCACTGAGCCATACTTATCTTCATTGGAAGACTCCACTGAGATGTACCTGGTCCTCTCAAAGCCCCCCTTTCCCTGCCAGACATTCCTTCACATTGAAAGTCACTTAAAGCTGTTACTCTCCTGCCTGTGCTAAGTGGTCTCTGGAAAGTAAATATTCTAATAGTTATAAACTGCCATGCTTTCAAGGAATTTAGGTATAATGAGCAGATTATATATAAACAAAAAATACATAATTATGATAATGTATTAACCATGAAAGAGTTAAAACATGAGAAAATTGAGAGATAGCAGGTGGCATGGTGCTTGGGGTACTGGACTCCCACATGACTGACTACAGTTCAAATCCCAGACCTGATGGCTTGCTTTTTCACACTCTCACATCCTCACACACTCTCTCTCTCTCTCTCTCTCTCTCTCTCCTTCCCTCCCTCCCTTCCTCCCTCCCTCCTACCCTCTCTCCCTCCCATCTCTCCTCCCTCCCTCTCTCTGTCTCTCCATCTGTCTCTGGTGGGCATGTGTGCTCTATAGCAAATTTAAAAATAATAGTAATAATTAAATAATTATTTAAAACATAAGAAAAATTTATTAAATGGCAACAGAGTAATTATTAGATTGTTGAGAAAGTCATGATGTATTATCCTGTATTATTCTGGGTTTTTTTCTATGCAAAAATGGATTGTGACTTTCCCGACAAATCAGGCAGTTCATCACAATTATCTGCACTGTTCAGAGACTAAGTTTCCTTCCTTTGCACTCCTGCTGTAAGGAGAATGTCACTTTTTTGGGGGGAGAGGTATTTGCTATAGGACATATGTGCTTCCAGAAAGGCAGAGAGAGAAAGCAAGAAATCACCCCCAAAGGGGATGGCCACACCACAATCCCTTCTCCTTCATTTTCCTCTCAGGATCTTGGGCATGCATGCACATGCAGCCAATGCGAATTTAAGCCACCAGGTCCAGAACTCAAACTGCCGTTGACTAATGGGAGTCCAGCGACCTAGCTATTCTGCCATCTGCTGGTCCTAAGAATGTCACTTCTATTTTCATTTTCTTCTTCTTTTTTTTTTAAGAGGTTTTTGCTATAGGGTGCGTGTGCTTGCCAGACAGACAGACAGAGACAGAGAGACAGAAAGCGAGAAATCACCCCCCGGGGGGATGGCCACACCGCAATCCCTTCTCCATTCTCCTCTCGGGATCTTGGGCACACACGCACACGTGCCCAGTGTGAGTTTAAGCCACAGGGTCCAGGACTCAAACCATGGTCAGCTATATGGGAGTTCAGCAACATAGCCATTAAGCTAACTGCTAGTCCCTAGAATGTCACTTCTTTTAAATCTTTTCAATTTTTGTTTATACAAAGATTTATAGTGCATTATCTCTACATACTTGATGTAAATGTCTCTAAGGCAGATGTCTTAGTTTGTTTTTCTGTTGCTATAAAGACACCACAGACTTGGTAATTTATAAAAAAAGTAGATCCCAAAAGGAGGGAGAGATGAAGGAGAAAGGATTAAGGTATGCTCATACCCTGTGAAGGGTACTTTCTTACTTCCCTCTCCTCCATGCCCCCCAAGTGAGCACACTCACCTTCTAGGAGGATGGGGAGTAGAGATTTAGGGCCAGCTTCATCATCTAGTGGTTAAGGCAGCTGGATTCCAGATGGCCAACTTCATGGTTCAAGTCCCAGACCCAGCAGCTTTAAAAAACATGCCAGGCACATGTGCATGTGTTCCCAAAATCCCAAAAAGAGAGAGGAAAAGGTACTGCAATGTGACCATTCCCCTGAGGGGTGCTTTCTTCTCTCCCTCTCTCTCTCTGGCTCCCTCTGGCAAGCTCATGTGCTCCCTGGCAAAAACACAGACAAAAAGAAATCAAGATTTAATTAACTCAAGGTTCTGGAGGCTGGGAAGTCCAAGATAAAGTGCCAGTGTCTGGTGAAGGCTTTCTGCTGTGTCATGACATGACAGAAGGCATCACATGGCGAGATAGAGCAAGCCTGTACCAGTTCAGACCTCCTGAACCACAGGTGCCATGATGGGAGCCCCACCCCATGACTTTATCTAATCCTAATGCCCTCCCAAAAGCCCTACCTCCAAATAAAATCAACATAAGAATATGGGGATTAAGTTCACTACATACTAAATTTGGGGACACATTCAAACCATAGCAGTAGATAAGCAACCTATTTTTTTTTTATGCTCTGGTTGCTGTGTTTCCTTTCATCATGTCATGTCTACAGTTTAACTGGCACATTAAATTTTAAATTACTAAATGAAAATTTTAAAACAATGATTTCTTGGGGGCCCTGCAGGTGGTGTGGGGGTTAAAGGCACTGGATTCCCACAGGGCTGACTGCAGTTCAGTTCCCCGACTGGCTGTTTGCTTTCTCTCTTTCTCTGTCTCTGTCTGGTCAAATTAAAAAATAATAACAAATCGATTAAATAAATAAATAAATCCTTTTTTTTTTTTTTTGGAGAGGTTTATGCTATAGGGCACGTGTGCTCACCAGACAGACAGACAGACAGAGAGAGACAGAGAGACAGAAAGCAAGAGATCACCCCCCAGGGGGATGGCCACACCACAATCCCTTCTCCTCCATTCTCCTCTTGGGATCTTGGGCACTCATGCACACGCGCCAGGCGTGAGTTTTAAGCCACCAGGTCAGGGACGTGAATCATGGTCAACTACGTGGGAGTCCAGCAACATAACCATTACACTAACTGCTGGTCTCAATAAATCCTTTTTAATAAAATGATCTTTTGGGCCAACAGGCAGCATAGTGGTTAATGCACTGGACTCCCGTGTCTTTTAACTGTGGTTCGAGTCCCGGACATGGCAGCTTAAAAATCACACTGGGGACTAACAGATGGTATAATGGTTATGTGGCTGGACTCCCATGTAGTCGAACACAGTTTGAGTGCTGGATCTAGTGGCTTAAATTCACACCAGGCACATGTACATGCATGTCCAAGATCCCGAGAGGAGAATGAAAGAGAAGAGATTGTGGCATGGCTATCTTCCCTAGGGGGTGATTTCTTGCTTTCTGTCTGTCTTCCCAGCGGGGGCACACACCGTATAGCAAAAACCTCTCTTAAAAAAAAAAAAAAATCACTTTGGGTGCATGAGCATGCATACCCAAAATTCCCAGAGGAGAATGAAAAAGGGATTGCAGTGTGGCCATCTCCTCTTGGGCAGGTGGGTATTTCTCACTACCCTCTCTCTCTGTCTCTGGTTTCAATGAGTACATATACCCTATGACAAAAACCCACCAAAAAAAATTAGAGGGAGTTTAGTTCTCTTTCCCACCATACAAGATGGCAGGCGAAAAAGCTGCAAAGCAGGATACTAAGGAGAAAAAACCTGAAGCCAAGAAGGCTGATGCCAGTGGCAAGGTTAAAAAGGGTGACCCCATGGCTAAAAAGCCCAAGAAGGGGAAGCCCCATTGCAGCCGAAACCCCCTCCTAGTCTGGGGCATCAGCAGATACTCCCGGTCTGCCATGTATTCCAGGAAGGCCATGTACAAGAGGAAATACTCAGCCACCAGATCTAGGATCAAAAAGAAAAAGGAGAAGTTCTTGCAGCTGTCACAAAACCAGTTGGTGGAGACAAGAATGGTGGTACCCGGGTGGTTAAACTGCACAAAATGCCTAGGTATTATCCTACTGAAGATGAGCCTCAAAAGCTGTTGAGCCACGGAAAAAACCCTTCAGTCAGCATGTGAGAAAGCTGCGAGCCTGCACCACTCCTGGGGCCATTCTGAGCATCCTCACTGGACACCACAGAGGCAAGAGAGTGGTTTTCCTGAAGCAGCTGAGCAGTGGCTTGCTACTTGTGACTGGACTGCTGGTTCTCAATTGAGTTCCACTGTATAGAACACACTAGAAATTTGTCATTGCCACCTCCACAAAAATTGATATTAGCAAAGTAAAAATCCCAAAGCACCTTACCGATGCTTACTTCAAGTAAAAGAAACTGCAGAAGCCCAGACACCAGGAAGGTGAGCTGTTTGACACAGAGAAAGAGAAATACAAGATTTCAGAGCAGCACAAGATTGATCAGAGTGCTGTGGACTTGCAAATTTTACCAAAAATCAAAGCTGTTCCTCAGCTCCAGGGCTACCTGCGATCCATGTTTGCCCTTAAAGATGGAGTTTATCCTCACAAATTGGTGTTCTAAATTTTTTGCCAAGAACCTAATTAAATAACTAATCAAAAGAAAAGAAATTAGGCTGGACTGAAAGAAAAAAAAAATTTTTTTTGGTTCTTAACATCACTACCAGAAAGGCCATCTTTTTGTTGGGCAAATAAAATCTTCACATATGTAGAAAGAGAAATGAGCTCTTATAAAAATCTGTTTAGAAGATGGTAAGTAGTATGTTTATTTACTTATTTATTTTACTTTCATTCACTGAGCATCATCACAGCATACAAAATGTGATTTCCCATCCAGAATACACTATATGGTGACTTTATCATACATAT